CCCTGCTCTGCCGCATCCGCGGCTCCCGGCCACGCCCCGGCCACGCCCCCATCCTCTGGCTCCGCAACGGCGCCCCCCTGAGCGACGGCGCCACCCCGGAAGCGCCGGCGGTGGAAGGTCCCGGAATCTTCGTCACCGGCAGCCGGCTGGTGGTGACCGAGGCCGAGTGGGAGCGCGGCGACGTCTTCACCTGCCAGGCCGGCGAGGAGAGCAGGAACACCAGCAAGGCCATGGAGTGCGGATGTGAGTTGGGTTTTTTGGGGGGGAAATCCACGGATTTTGGGATTCCGGGGAGTTTTGGGGGGGAAAATTCCCATTGGAGGAGGTCAAGGAATGGGGTTGGTTGAGTTGAGTTGGGTTGAGTTGGGTTGGATTGGGTTGAGTTGGGTTGGGTTGGGTTGTGTTGAGTTGGTTGAGTTGGTTGAGTTGAGTTGGGTTGAGTTGAGTTGGGTTGAGTTGAGTTGGGTTGAGTTGGGTTGAGTTGGTTGGGTTGGGTTGAGTTGGGTTGGGTTGGGTTGAGTTGGTTGAGTTGAGTTGAGTTGAGTTGGGGTTTTTCCATAAATTCCCAAAAATTGCTGAAAATCCCAATTTTTCCCAAAAATATTCCCCAGCTTTAATGGTTTAGCACCTCAAGATTCCCATAAAATTGAAAAATTCCCATAAATCATATTTTTCCTTAAAATAATCCAAATTTTCAAGTTTTAGCACCTCAAGATACCCATAAAACTGAAAAATTCCCAAAAAACCCTTTTTTTTTCCCTAAAATAATCCTGATTTTAAGGATTTAGCACCCTGATATTCCCAAAAACACATAAAATCTACATAAATCAATTTTTTACCCAAAAGAAGACCCAATTTCAAGGGTTTAGCACCTTGAAATTCCCAGAAGTCAATTTTTTCCTTAAAAGAATCCAAATTTTCAGGTTTTAGCACCTCAAAATTCCCAGAAATCCCTTTTTTCCTACCAAAACCACCATGAAGGGTCATCCAGTTGACCACTGACCATCACCAGTGGTCATTTTGGGTGGAAACCACCCAAAACCACCATCAAAGATCATCCACCAAAACCACCATCAAAGATCATCCATTTGACCACTGGCCAACCCCAATGGTCATTTTGGGTGGAAACCACTCAAAACCATGATCAAAGATCTTCCAGTTGACCACTGGCCATCACCAGAGGTCATTTTGGGTGGAAACCACCCAAAACCACCATCAAAGATCATCCAGTTGACCACTGGCCAACCCCAATGGTCATTTCGGGTGGAAACCTCAAAAAATCATCAAGAAAGATCTTCCAGTTGAAAATCATCAAGAAAGATCTTCCAGTTGACCACAGGTCAACCCCAATGGTCATTTTGGGTGGAAAAACCCCAAAACCACCACTGAGGATCTCCCAGTTGACCAATGGCCATCTCCAGTGGTCATTTTGGGTAGAAACCACTCAAAACCACCATTGAGGATCTCCAAATTGACCACTGGCCAACCCCAATGGTCATTTTGGGTGGAAAAACCCCAAAACCACCACTGAGGATCTTCCAGTTGACCACTGGCCATCACCAGAGGTCATTTTGGGTGGAAACCACCCAAAACCACCCTCAAAGTTCATCCAGCTGACCCCGCCCCGCAGATGACCAACCCCTGAGCGCCAGCGACATCCGGGTGGAGACGGTGGCGCCGCTCTTCGCCGACATCTTCCGGGACCAGGCGGCGCGGCTGACGTGCCGCGTCTCCAACCTGGCGGCCGGCGGCGAGGGCCTGGAGGTCACGTGGCTCAACGAGGAAGGGGAAGCCCTGGCCACCAAGATGGCGGCGCCGGCGCTGCAGCCCAACGGGCTGCTGGCGGCCGAGGGCGTGGCCACGGTCAGCGTCGAGGCCTGGGAGTCCGGCCAGGTCTTCACGTGCCGAGTGACCCACCCCGAGCTGCTCTTCCCCAGGGAGGTGACCATGAGGAAGAGCACGGGTGAGTTCCGGAAGCAGGAAACGGGGATTCAAGATGGCGGAAGGTTGGGGTGGGAATACAAAATGGCCGAAGGTTGGGGTGGAATCCAAGATGGCGGAAAGTTGGGGTGGGATCCAAGATGGCTGAAAGTGGGCGGGGTTTGGGATCCAAGATGGCC